GAGACTCTCCACTCTCCCGTCTGACGTTTGAACCAATCCGGTGACATCGACCAGCACTGACAGTTGGAATTCCCTCATGAGGAACACGAAAGGGATCGCGGTAGTATTAATTTGGAGAGGTTTGGGGCAATTAGGGTTTGGCCGGAAAACTTTGAATCCATATTTCGGAAGGTTCCGGCCTTTTTGAGGATTCAGGTGCCCTTGGGGGTTTGATAGAAGGAAGTTCGTGGTGGTCTTAATGGTGTAATGATTGGTGGGTTTGGTAAAAGGTGGTTCTGGCCGGAAATCTTCGATCTAGATAATTCGAAGCATTTTGGCTTACGATTTGAGGGAAACTAGGTTGGGCGGTTGGAAAGAGGAGGATGAGGATTGAGGGGTGTAAATTTTTTGAGTGATTTGGGCTTCGCCGCCGCGCGCGGCGATTTCCGCCGCGCGGTTTACGGTGGAGAGGGTGGAATACGGCGAAGGGTACGTGTGAGGTACGGTCGGGCGTACGGTGGTGTTGTTTACAGTTGTACGAGGAAGATGATAAGTGTTCTTGAGTTCATAACAATTTTTCGGAACACTTTTATTAAACCCTTGGACAGAATGGGACGTTAGATGATGGGGAACGGAGGGCCCACGACGTTAATTGGTCTAAGCATTAATTTCAAACGACGCTAGTTTCTCCCCTATACTACGTCGTTTTTAAGAGCTTTTGGACCGGGCAGTTGGGCTTAGTTTTTGGATCAGGTTTTCAAGTGTGCAATTTTGGGTTGATTTGGGCTGGGGTGAATTTAGCCCAAATTCCTTTTTTTTTGATTTTGTTTTCTTGCTTTTTGTTATTCTATTTTAATTTATTTATTTATTTTGTATTTTTAGTATTTATTTATTTTTTCTGGTTATTATAAAAATGCTAGAACAAAACAAAGACTCAATTAAGCTATTTAAAACTTCTAAATTACTTAAAAACTCTATTTAGAAATAAAACAGGCAACAATTAACAATTAAGAGCGCAACAGCCTATTTTTTGGCAAGGTTTTCTTTAACTTTAATTTCCTAAATCTAATAATACCTAATGAATATCAATTTGGTAAAAATAAAAATCCCTAAATGCATGTGCGTATTTTTACCTGTATTTTCATATTAAAATGCAACCAAATTAACACCAAAATTCACGACAAAAATTCACAAAAATTGGTAAAATAATAAAGAATCAATTATTTGAAACTTTTGAATTAATTTGCTTAGGCAAAAATTACGTGCTCACAGTATGGTTTTATGCTTTAATAATAAAAAGAGTGATGAATAGAAAATATTAATGCTACGGTAGAAGAGAAGGTCCATAAGAACATTTATTCAGTTCTTTTTGTAAATTTATGAAGAACTAATTTGATTTTCTCCTCCTATTTAACCTACTGCAATTATTACTATATTATCAAAAAACGCTTTTCTACTTCTTCTTTCAAGTGCTCAAGAGGTTGAAAAAATTTCCCTACTAATTGGGGCTCTTTTAAGTGCAATTGACTTGCTTATAAACAGGTTTATTCATTTGTTTTTTTTAAGTTATTATATATACTTGATATGGTAATCCTATATTGTTATAGACCAAATGAACTTGATAGTATAAACTCATCTTATTAACAAACGTGTTTCTGAGAAAAATATTCTTTTAGAAAAACATTCTCTTGTCATACTAAACAAGATTAAAATAGTGGATGACGTAAATAGAAATAGTATAATTAATATATATTGAAATGAAATTTTACACTATTTGGTCAATAGTAAAAAAGAAATTGCAAGTGAAACCGGAGAGTCTCCCGAGATTCTCCGAGATTTTAGAATATTGCAATGGCGCATTAGGTGGAGGAGTCGTGGGGGCTTTGCGGTAAGATGGTAGGAGTAGAGCGACCGGCCAATGAATTCCGGTTGAGTTTTTGAAGTATGTGGGAGAGCAGGATTGGAATGGCTGACTGCGGTTTTGTTCAGTGTAATTTTTAGGACGAAGAGGAGCCGGAGAATGGAGTCGAGTACCGTGGGTCCGTGTCAAGAACACAGGTGATATCCAGTGTTGTAACCATTATAGGGGTTCAAGTTACTTACAATACCATGAAATCTGGGAGAGGGTGGTGGGGTGAGGGTGAGGAGTCGACGTCTTATCCGACAAATCAGTTTGG